GGCAACAATTTAAGCAAAATCAAACAGAAATTGTTGGGCAAATATAATAAAACAAAAGCGTGTGCGTAGACAATGCCGGACAATGACAAGAGCAGCAAACAGACAGGCGGCTGGACAGCAGCAGGACACAGACATGGACACAGACACGGCCACGTGTATGTATGCAAATCAGCTCTGTCTGCTCTGTGCTGGTCCTCCTCTGATCTTTGGATTGCATTTTGGCATGGCTCCCAAAAAGAAATGATGAGAAAAATACAACAAGAATAAAGTGAAATAGGGAAAAATAAAAGTCCAAATGTGGATGCCTGTACGTGCGGCAATGGTAGAATCCAGACGGGAATGGAGTGCAGAGCAGAGACCTGGAGGAAGCGGCTGCGGAGCGGGATGAAAGCACAGCAACAAAGCAAATAACAGCAACAGCAACACACAAAAGCGGCCTAACACACAGCGCAAAACATTTTTTTTTGTCAAGGGTGAATGACCCAGAATCAAAATCCACAAAGTCGTCGTCACTGCCTGCCGCTGCCGCTGCCGCTGTTGCTTGCCTTTGCCTCTGCCGTTCCCTTTGCCAGCCAGCCACCTCCTCACCAGCTCATCAGCTCATCCTCATGCAGCGAATCAAGGTATATGCATATATTGAAAAGAAGGTAAGGTTACGTTCGAATGTGCAGTTAAAGGTGAAATTGCTTGCAAGGTGGCGTTGCCCGCTTATTCACCATGCGCACAGAGACGAGCGCTAGAAAGGGATAGAAAGAGACTTGCCCGTGGGGAAGACATTACCTTGTAAGTAAATTAACCTGAGTCCAGACTCTACGCTAAAGAGCTTTACAGCCTTACCCTTTATTTGATACACCTTGGATGGAATCTTCGTGCGTTTCGGCTCGTTTCAGCTTTCGTCATCCTCACCAGCAGCCGCACCCCACTCCACACACAGCACACAGTTTCTGCATCATTTTGTGCGGTTCGGGCTTTGCTCCTCCTCGGGCTCTTATGATTGCCACAGCCAGACGATAACCCAAACCACCAGCAGCAGCAGCAGCAGCAGCAGCAGCATCAGCCACCAGAAAGCGGAGAAACAACAAAAAAAGATAAAGAAGAGTATTTGAACATTTTTGCAGCATTGCACACGCGACTCTCGCGCGCCGCCCAGTCAGACAGTCTGCGGTCCACTCACAGATACAGTTACACAGCCACTGCTCTCTCTCTCTCTCTTCGCTCTTCGCTCTTCGCTCTTCTCACCGAATTCTCAATGGGCCACGAGTGTTATCGGGCAAACCGAGAAGCGTTAATTGCATCCCATTGTGCGCTTGCCAGAGATACAGTTGGAAATACTCTTTTGGTTCTGCTGGCTGGCCGTCAAATCAATCTTCATTTGCCACAAAGCGAAACTTTATTTCGTGCAGCCGCAAAAACCTCTGACAGGCCAACAACTTCCTCGACAACACACAGAGAGACACATCCACAAAGCAGCAATTAAAGTTTGACCCAAGGAGCAGCTTGTGTCCGCTCTCCGCGTCCTGTCACCTAATTTCCGTTCTAGAAAACATGTCCTCTCTCTCTCTCTCTCTCTCTGCCCCAGCCAAGTGGCACTTGAGCTTCAGCCCCTGCCACAGACCCAGCAATGTCCTGTGTCGTCGAGACACAACTAGTTCTTCAAGTCAGCAAAGGACATGAACGTGGACGTGGACAACAACAATGAGGACGACGACAGCAGCAGCAGCAAATAATTTTGTAATTCAATTGTTGTCCTTCTTCGCATATGGCGTGTCCTACGGCAGGTTTCAACGGCAAGTGGCCGCCTAGCCAGAGCAGGCCAGACCAGACGTCCGACTCGTCTGACTTGTGCTCCCTGGCATCGAGGACCTACGACAATAGCAAAAGTTGCCAGGCCCAAGCCCAGACCGGAAACGGAATGGCCGGCCAGCGAGGACCTCACTTCGGCAGAAGTTCTGCAAATTGCAGTCTATTTCCCCTTTCTTATGCCTCCCTACCTTTAGCTGTGTCAAGGTGGCAACATTTCAGGCCCCACCTTTTGCATAATGTGAAAGGGAATAAGTTGGAAAATGTTTTGGATTTGTATGTGGAGAGTTTTAATCAGGCTTTGGCTCATCCTGAACACCAACTTTGGGTGTCAGTTAGCCATGTCTGCCGTTGGAAGTTCATTCTGCTGCTCCAATGGTAATTAAATAAATTTTTTAGCAATGCATAAATTGTTTTCTTGTGTGACATTTACATGGAATAATAATTAAATTAAATTAAATTGATTTTGGCTTGGCCATTTATTAGCCATGAGGGACAGAAACATGCGGCAAATATTCGCTCTGGATTTATGGCAAAAAAGTTGTTCCCATGGTCGCATCTTCGCTTTATCTGGCATGTAATTCATGCGTATTAATTTCATCTTTGGCCTATCCTGCTTCCTGTCTGTCAGTCGGATTGCACAATGGAAATCTGCTCCTGGCTGCTCGGTTCGTTATGCGTTTTGCGTTTTGAATTGAAAGTTGTCGGTCTCCGCTTTGGTCCGGTCATTGCATCGCAACGTTCTCTCTCTCTCTCTCTCTCTATATTTTCAATGGCACAAAAGATATGCAAGGATTAAAAAAGGATTCATTCTGTGTGTGTAGGGGAATGCAGGGGACAAGGCAAGCGATTGCAGTCTTCGCCATTATTCGCATTATAATGCCATTTTGATATGTAAATACTCGTAAACAACAAAATGAAACGAACCCTGCCCATCGGCAAGGACCTGCCTGGCATCGACTGGCATCCTGGCATCCTGCTAGGCTGGACATGCAATTGCATTGCATTCGCGCTGGCATTGTTCCAGCATCGAGCATCGACAATCCAGCATCCCCAGTCCCCAGAGACTTCTCGCTTCTCCTCTCGTGGTCTTAAGGGTTGAGTTTCAAGTTCTGCAGTCGCGTCGGGGTTATCGGACGATTACAAAAGATTTCCTACTCTCTGGTCAGCAGAGTACAGAAATCCAAAAAGCAAGAGCTTGCAGCGGAAGTTGAGCGTACATTTCATCAGCTGCCTGTACCCTCGACTCTGGACTGCTGCTGCAGGAGCAGAAATTAACTTTTATCTAGGAGATACTCTGGCAGCAGCTGCCGTGCATCTGTGGGGGGATATTAATCACTTGCAGTTGCTTCTCCTTCTCTTCTCGCTTCAAACTTTGTCGGCGTGCGAAATCGAAGTCGTATGTCAGCGATATCCTGGCATAGTCCTCATCCTAGGGAACCCCACTACTCCGTGCGTTCGCTTGACCTTCTGCGCTGTCATTGACCTCGGGCAGCAGGCAACTGCATCGCCTGGTCATGGTGTGGCATGGCTATGGCTAGTACATATTATGGATAGCAAAAGCGAAAGGGGTTGCGGCTTGCGGTGCACATAAGGTACATGCATGCGGCACTTACATGTGCACAGATGTGTTGTATGTGGCAGCAGCCAGTCGCGCTCCCATTTTGCTTTTGTTTTAACTCACAAACCGATTACAACACGAAACACACACTTCAAAACTTAGAATGCATTCACTCTCGCACTCATGCACTCACCCAAACACTCACTCACTCGGCCGTACTGACCTATTCCTCTGAATACGCTGGTAGGCCAGCCGCCTGCCTCTGTCTGGCAACTGAAAAATTCCAAATGGCTCAAGTAAAGTAGAACGACACACACACAAAGCGCGAGTCTTGAGGCCAAGCCAAGCGTAAAAATGTAAAAGTTCTCATTTGATGTTTAAGGATTAAATGTGGGAGCAGATGTTTAGTTACAGAATCAATTCTAGAGTTTGAAGTCCTAGTTTCTCCTATACGCCTCTCCGAACACTGCTTATATTTCATCAATATTCAACGATCCTAAGGATTAAATATGCACCATCCATTAGAGCACAGAAATATCCATTGCAATCCTTACATTTGGTAACGATTCATCAGAGTTCTAGCACTTATCTATACCCTATAAAGCCATGCAACTTCTTGTGGATCATTTGTGGTGTGCCTTTTGCCTGAACTGCAGCTTGGCCGAGAGTGCAGCGCCCGCAAAATATGATCCTCCCGATCGCGATTAGTGACACTTGAATGCATTGCAGGCCACAGTCTTGGCTTTTACAAAATGTTTTAACACCTCGTTGGCCTTTACAGCGGCTGGCGATTGGTAAGAGCCAGAGCCAGAGCCAAAGCTGACTGAAAATCGATATTTGGGCAGAAGGTTAAAGATGGAGTGGAGTGGAGGCGACAAATGAGAGCGAGGAGCAAATGGCAGAGGGGCAACTGCCTGCCAACACCTTTGCCAGACGGACGGACGGACAACTGTGGCCGGGGGTATTGAATGTAATTAAAAGGAGTTGGATTACACGTGTCGGCTCCAAGGCGACAGCAGGGACAGCGGCAGGACTCGACACAAAAGGAGTTGGCTTGGCAAACAACGAGGAGGAGCATAAAAACAAAACGACAAGCCAAAAGCCAGAGAGAGAGAGAGAGGCCAAAGACGTGACAGAGAGGTGCAGGCAGCGGGGCAAAGTTCTTTCTTTCACTTGGGACACAAGTGAAGCTCGTTCCTGAGAGAGACTCCGACTCCGACTACGACTCCTCTCCAAAATGCACTTTAAATGGCAGTTTCCGGTCACACATACACACACCAACACACACACACACATGCATAGAAATGTATGAGAAAAGGAAACACAATGCAAAGGAGTCGCGCTGTGCCAGGAGCCGCAATGCACCGCACGCCGCTTGGTACAGGCTGTACTCCTCCCCACGACCCTACTGCTGGCACTCCTCGCTCTCTCGCTGTCATTCTTCACTCAAGTCTTGCCCTGCCCTGCCTTTCGATTCAGCCTGCCTGAATGCAGTCTAAGCTTTTTCATAGGCCTACCCCTGCAGCTTGCATCTGCATCTGCATTTGCATCTGCATTGGTGCGACGAGCGTGAGACAGCGTCGCTGCGGGAAAGGATTCGGGGCACAGATCAAAAAGGACTCTCTCTCTCTGCATGCAGCCAGCTTTATTAATCATTTTCCACACATTTGCATAACGAAATATTAATCAGCACGAGCATAGGGACGGGGGCATTAGAATTTGCGAAACTTCTTCAGGACCTTCTTGCCTCTGTCGGCCAGCCGCTTGGCCTCCGCTGCAATTTTCTCCTTGGCCTGTCTAGCCTCTCGCTCGGCATTCTCCTTCACTCTGCGGGCCTCCTGCGCGGCCTGCTCGAGTGCTAGTTTCGCCTCCCGCTCGGCATTCTCCTTCAGTCTCCGTGCCTCGCGTTCCGCATCCTCCTTCAGTCTCCGAGTCTCCCGCTCGGCATCCCTTTCGGCCCGTCTTGTCTCCCGCTCGGCATCGTGAGCCGCTCTGGCGACTTCGTGGCCAGCGTCCTCAGCAGCTCGAACCGTCTCCCGGCTGACATTCCGAGCCGCCCTGATGGTCTCCCGTTCCGTTTGCTTCGCCACTCGCTCTGCCTCCCGCTCGGCAATGGGAAAGCTCAGCCTTGCGCTCGCAAAGCGCTTACGCCAGAAGGATATGTGAACAACACGACGCCTGCTCGTGCCGTGTTTCTGCAAGAAGTACAACGAAAGATTAGCCGAAAGATTAGTCAACCCTTTTGGGGGCTACCTCTTTGCGTACGGTGACCACGGCCACAGTGTCCTGATCGAGGATATACACAAAGTCCTTGTAATCAGAGGAGACGCCCATTTCGTTGAGAACCGCGACAACCTGTTGCATGGAGCATCGTTCCAGGGGCTCCTGCCTCCAGCAACGTCTGATCAACTGCTTGATGGCCTCGGGACAATCGGATCTCACAGCATCCATGTCGGGACGAGCGCCTGTGGAGCAAAAGAGGAGCACGAGTAGCAGTAGCTGGAGATTTGATGCTGCAGAAACCTACCCATTCCCGCAGCCAGCATCACTGCAACTTGGTTGGGATTCTCCATGTGACTGAAGGGCGGCCGGCGGGACATTAGCTCCCAGAGCATGACGCCCCAGCTGTACACATCGCACTTGTCTGTGTACCTTCTGCCCTTGATCACCTGCAAAGGGAAACAATAATTCTGTGTCCTTGTTTGTGCTGAGACCCCGCACCTCTGGTGCCATGTAGGCCGGTGTCCCGCGGGCATTCGACATGTAGCTGTGCAGGTCCGTCACAGTGCCAAAGTCGCAGATCTTCAGCCTGCCCGGGATGCCCGTCAGCAGCATGTTGTGGGGCTTGATATCCCGATGCAGCATTGCCCTTGGGGTCATGGCATGAAGATACGCCACAGCCTAAGGGGAGCAGAATTAGAGTTACTCCCTGAGTACTCCCAGACCCATGCATACCTCTGCGCACTGAAGCGCCCAATTGGTGGCCTCCGGCACGGTGTACTCCCTGCGCACCGCCCCATAGAGGAAGTCGTGCAGGGAGCCACCTTCGACGTACTCCATCAGCAGGTAGGTCTCATCGTTGTAGGTGGCCATGCCGAACAGCTTGACAATGTTCTCATGTGCCACTCTCGCCAGTTGTGCGATTTCCCGTGCTATGCTCTCCTCGATCACCTCGTAAAACTTTTTCACGGCGATCTTTTGGTTCCGGATGCGACCGCTGTACACCGCACCAAAGCCCCCAAAGCCGAGTCGCTGTGCATTTATTACAGATAGTTTGAGTTGTTAAACAAAATGCAGTTGATGTGCCCACCTGGCTGATTTGCAGTTCTGAGAAATCGAATTTCGTTGCCATCTCTGCAGTTGGCTCTACGCTTTCGGAGTGAGTCAAGAGCTGTGGCGGTGGCGGTTCTCCTCGCATTTGTTTATGGCTCGTTTTTGTGATAAGCCCTCTTATCTGGTGTTTGGTGTGACCCCCAACCGTAGCTGCGAAAATCACAAACTTCTATTATCGATTACCCACAACAGCAATTCTCTTTTTTGTATCTTTTCAGCTGCCAAAAACTTGGCCCGCGGCTCATATCGGCCCTGCAACCAGGACATGTTCAGCTCTCTGTCCAGACAACATGACTTTGCCGGTGAGTGAGATTATTTTCATTAATTTATTGCAAGTATTTTATTCCATAATCCCATCCCTCTATGATGCACATTCCTTCTATGAGTCTTTTGGGAGGTAGAAATTGTTGCCAGAGCTGTTAGCCTGGGATGCTGCCAAGATTGAAGCTTACAGCATTTAAGTGCTGCTTATATTGGCTGTCCTGGCCCATTCTGTAGCTCGCATTACACCCTGAGATGACGTTGCACTCCACTCGTGTGCAGCTCTTCGTAGTCTTCTGCTTGGATTACACAAATGTCTATCGTTACATAAAGCGACTGACAGCAGTTGCTCTTCACTAAGTTATGCCATCGTATCCCGTTCCTTGCACTCCTCTCATTTTCAGCCTGGCTGTCCTACGACTGTTGGTGTAGGTCCAGTCCTGGCTTATGTAAACCACATTCCAACCTCAACCCCGACTGGCTGCGTTTACATAATGCAAATGCAAGTACATGGCACTCGAGCACATGCTCTTCGCGCCACGTTTCACATATTTGCCGGCTGCATGTGGTTCCTGCCACTGCAGCAGCGCCTGGCTAGAGCCCTTTGCCATGTCAGCAGCTCGCTTCATATTTCTCATTTTCAACTGCAGCATTAATGGGCTAAGTAAATAGCCCTGTAATATGTTGCCCCGAGGAGAGCTTGGCAATCGAATTACTCTGCCGATTGAAAGGTCTGGCAGAGTTCCAGAGAGAGAAATAAAAGGGATATTGCGATCATCTTTGTGGCAAAACATCATCTTTGATGATGCCCCGAACTATAGGTGAAATTTACCGCATTTCTTATTCATTTCGCGTCGCACGTTCTAACCATGTACAAGAGAACAAGAACAGCAGAAAAAGCAAACAAATATCCGTAAAAATGTGGTTGCCATCGTCGCCATTTGTGCGCAGATTGCATTTCAATGGGCTCTCCAGCTCCCCAGCCCTAGTCCTGGCCTGCATCTTTCCCAGGCTGCAGTCAGCCACTTCTTGTTGCCAGTCGCTGGCAAGGGTCCGCGTTTGCCGTTGTGCCTTTGTTTTAGGAACAGACGAGAACCGAGAACCGAGCACCCCTCGCCCCATGTGGATGTGGATGTGGATATGGATGGCAGCGGAAAGTAGGCCAAGTTAAAATTGATTTAATGCGTTGATTGCGTGGATGTCGGGCAGCGGTACCGCAGCTGCAATTGCAGTTTGCTGTTGCTGTTGCAACTGCCCAGATTTATGCGTTGCTCCCTCTACCTCTACCTCTACCTCTACCCTTTTCGCGCACATGTCAGCTGTGGCTTGTTTTACTTTCAATGGATCTTAATCTGCATCACGATCCGGCTGCCTGAGACCGCTTTGACCCACACAGAGAGAGAGAGAGGGAGGGACGGACTCGGGGCGTATGCGCGATATTGCCGCCGCTTGGCATCTGTCGAACATTGACCCAGGACCAAGCTCTTGGGGAGAAGTTCGTTAAAAATAATTGCCAGCAACACCCAAAAATCCCCCGCCCCAGCCATCGCTTTAGTTTGTTGATTTTCCCTCTGCATCCCTCCCCCCGAGGCATGTTGAGCGTCAAGTGGCTGCGCGTTTGCTCGTTCTCTCTTTTTTTTTTTGACAGCTAATTGGAAAACTGTTGGGAAAACTGGCGCGCTTTCCCCGCCTTCTGTTTGTTTGCCAGCTCAAGTTTGGAGCGGTTTAGGCGTTGCCCCGGCAATCGCTGCCAAATCGCACCCCACAGGATGCGGCACAAGGGCGCATTATATTTTAACACCTTCATCCAATTGGCAGCGCTTTGTTGTTCCACTTCCTCGCATCGATCGCCTGGGTCGCCTGTCAGTTGCGTGTCCCCTCCTGATCCTGCCCCGGGGCTTAATTTATGGACTGGCGCATCGCTCTTTTTTTGCTGCATCCTTTTTTCAGTCCAAAAGTGACGACAAAACATTCCACAATATGACACAAAAAATAAATACAGAAAAAAAACAACTCAAAGAAAGATAAATCCTTTTTGCAAAAGAATCAAATTCAAAAAAAAAAAAAAAAAACAGAACGCCATCGACAATTTAGATAAATTTTCCCACCAGCCATGGCCATAAGACAAAGACAAAGACCACGACCCAAGACGATCAGCGAGGGCTGCTGCTCTTTCTCTTTCTCCCTCTCTCTTGCGAGAGAGATCTTTTGGGTGTGCGAGGGGTGCACAGTCTGTCCAGGCCACGGGTGCGGTCATCGGGCTCATCCTTAGCCTCAGCCTCAGCCTCAGCCTCAGTCTCAGCCCTTGCCCATTTTATTTCATCCACAATATAATCACGCTGTGCTCGATATCAAATGATAAACTCCAAGCCAGCCAGCTTCGAATGATGACCGTCTCCTCCCCTGTATGTGTGTGTGTGTGTGTGTGTGTTCGTGTGTGTGCTCAATGGCTCAGCGCATCCTTCAGGTACAACTTACTCATATATCACAAAAGGATACTGCTTGCTCCTTCCTCGGTGTGTACTTTTCTGCTTAGCTTTTTGTGTCTTGTCTCTGCTCTGGCTATTGCTCCTTGGCAGCTCGAAGGTGACACCGCGGCACAGACAATGGCCAAGGCAAGGAGCAGGAGATGGTCAAGCGACCGCCTTTCTTTTGCCAAAAACCCATACAAAAAAACCACCGGGCAAAAAAAGGAACCATCGGCAAAGAAAAAAACTTAGACGCTACGAACCAGTCCGACAAAAAACCTAAATACAAAGATAGAGAAAAAGAAGTACGCAAATCAAAATCAACTTATAAAAAAGCAACGTTCCATCCAATGCAAATGTCGCATTGAGTTTCCTCCCTTTTTGTGGGCTCGCTGCGGCTGGTCAGCCACTTCCTGTGTTCCTGCGAGGACCTCAGAGAAAACTATGCTTACAGCTTGAGCCAGCACCAAAATGGCTTAAGGAGAGGTGCACTCAGATTTATCTCTGGGCAGAGATTCACCATGGTCGCACCCACGCGGCTTATAGCCCCCTAGAAGATTTCTAAACTCACTCGAACCATCAAAGATCTCCACAATCAAAAGTTGGTACAGCAACAGGAGCAGTAAGTAGACCGCCGAGCAACCACCAGCAATAAAAAGTGCGACAGGGGGGGAGAGTGCAGAGAGAGGGTTAACAAAAGCAAAGGAAACAAGAAGAGCTGAAAATATCAGCGGAGCTCAATAAGTTTCGGCCCCTGGACATTGTCCATCCTCCGCTCGAGAGTCGGGGAGAGGTTCAGGTACATTCGAGGACGAGGATGGGGATGAGTACTTGGACTCGTAGCTCGTACCTCGTACCTTGTACCTCTACCTACATTCATTTGAATGCAGACAAGTCCTTGCGTCGCCGTCAGAGGTGATCTTCCTTTGTGTGGCAGCCAAGTGCTGCTGTCTGCGTCGCTGCTGTTGTTGCTTCTCCTGGCATCTCGAAGGAAACGAAAAGCATGCAGAAAAAGTTTTATTATGCGAGCCAAAAAAATGGGAATATTTTTTTGATATAAAAATATTTGGAACGGACTGCGGCTGGCAGCAGCAGCAGCAGCAGCAGCAACGGCGGCGGTGGCGACAGCAGCTTGGCAGGGGGTTGCAAGGGGAACGGCAGCAGCAGCACATATGGGGGTAAGGCTAGGGGAGGGCCAGGCCAGGCCATTGCCGAGCGACGAGCTGCTGTGTGCCCCTTGCCTCAGTCTCAGTCTCAGCCGCAGCCGCAGCAGCACAGAAGTGTTGGATGTCATCTTATTATTTTGAGACCAAGGCAGCGACGCGGGCAGAGCGATCGCCTTGATGATGACCATGCGCCCGTGATTGCCCCTGCCACCGCTGCTGCCACATCGTGGCTACGGGGCCGCCACGTCCCCCGTCAGATGTAAGCCTCGCAAAACTGTGGGAATAAAAACAGGATTCAACATAAAAATTGCGTTATCGCCACAGATACGGACATTGTTGTTGGTTGCCGCTGCTGCTGCTGATGCTGCTCCTGATGTTGGACCATCGTGGCTGATGATGCCACCGATTCCTTGATGATGCTCCTGATGCTGATGCTCATCGGCAGCCAGCGGTTTCCTCGCTTCGTTCTCTCTTTCAGCCTCTCCTGCCCAGCATTCACTTCGTTTTGGCTTTCGTTTTCTGCCCTACAAATGAAGGAAAGCAAAGCCTTTCGATCCCTTTGAAGTTACGCTTGACCTTAGAAATATTTATAGAACGAACTCAGATTTTGGTAGAGTTTTTGGAGCACATAAGGACTGCTTTTTATCATTTATAAGCTCAGCTTTTGGAAGTTCCCAAATGCCATCTTCGTCTCAAATCAAATCTATTCCCAAATGTATGCACAACATTATCGCCCGTTGAGGGTCATCGCACCTGCTGGCTGGCAAATTGAGTTGGCAAAATGCGATTCTACGAGAGAGAGCGAGAACAGAATAGATCTTATCGGTGGCATCTAGATACGCTTTACTTGTCGCTCGGCATTGTCCGTGACTCCCGAGTTAATTAAACTTGGGCGGCACAGGCAGGGGGCAGGAGGCAATCAGAGTCGAGTGAAGCGAGTGGATCATAAAAACGGATTGGCCATTGCCCGGCGTTATGCTATGGGAGCAGAAGAATCGCACTTAATTGAAATGTTCCTCAAACATGCCTCACACACACACACACACTATAGAGAGAAAGAGAGAGAGAGCCCCGGAGAGTGAGAGGGCGACAAAACGCATCGGCGGTCGCGACTTTGTTCAGCATCTTGTGGCATCCATTCAGCCCGGCTCTGGAGGGGTCAATCGGAATGACAAAAAATGTGTAAAAATCCAAGAGAGACAGTGGAATCCACAGAGAGAGAGAGAGAGAGAGAGAGAGCGAGAGCGAGAGAGCGGCGACGGAAGGCAACTAAGGCTGTGGCTGTGACTGTGACTGTGGCTGGGTGGTTGCTGGGGCGAAGAACTACAAAAAGCAGACTCTCCCATGCACAAGCTGGCCCTGCTGTATGTGTGTGTGGAGATGCGAGAGAAGTTGCAATACAAATGCAATTGCCTGCCGCTGCGAATGCGAAAAACAAAACAAAAAGGAAGGCTCTTCGCTCTTCGCTCTTGCTCTCTCTCTCCGTGTGTGTGTGTGTGTGTGTGTGTTGTGCGCTCTCTCTCTCCCTCTCCGTGCTGGAGAGTAATTTGCATTTGTGTGCGTGTAGCTGCAAGCTTTTTTGTGGCTGTAGCTGTAGCTGTAGCCTGGCGACGACGGAGACGGAGACGGTGACTGAGAACAAACTGAGACTGAGACAGAGACAGAGACTGCGACTGCGACCTAGGCTGAGTGACTACCCAGCCGGGTATCTGTATCTGTATCTCAACGCCACTCCACTCGCAAGTATCGCGGACGCGCAAACGACCATGCGAAAATATTGCAATTACAAATCTGGAACTTTTTACACCAACGGTTAAAGCAACCGGCCATCAGCAGTAGTTCAGAACAAAATCAACCGAAATTCAACTCAAATTCAGTTCAAATTTTTGGAAAATTATTATTACTTTTGGCAAAAAAACGAAAACGATTTAAAACACGGAGTCCGCGCATACAACGTCTTCACACACTTTTGGATTAACATCAGCAATAGAGCCGGCAACCATCAACCTTCAACCTTCAACCTTCAACCATCATCAACATCAGCGACCAACCCCATCAAAAATTGCAAAAGAAATCGAAATCTAACAATAGAAATTTGAAATTATTACAGTCACAGTCTCTACCACAAAACTTCTTGTTATAAGTGTTTAAAGATTTAAGCAAACATTTGCCAGTTTTTGTTTAAGTTTTTTCTTTATTTGCTGCATTGAATAATAACGGTAATAGCGGTAAATCTTTTCCAATAATCTAATATTCTAATATGATTAAGTGCACCAGTGAGAGAAGAAGGATCACAAGCAAACGACGCTTCTAATTACGATAATCCCTGATAAATAATAAATTATAAAAAGTAAATAAATACTAATACGCAGTCATAGGCTAATAATCAACTGACGGATAAGCTACGAGTGTGTCTATGGGCGAGCGTGTCAAACTGTAAAATCACGCGAAAATGCAGCGACATGTCTGGAAATGCATTAAAATTAAATACAAAACCTATCAATTTCTAACAAGTGAACAAACACAAGCAAACACAACCTGAACACAAAGAAGGCATCGAAATCGAAATCGAAATCGCAATCGAATGAAGACAACGAATTTCAACCTAAAAGTGCATATTGAATACTATTCCGTGCCAAGTGGAAACTATGATCATCAAGTGAAGAAGCCCACGAAATAAACAACAAAAAAACAATCAAAGTTATATAATTAAATATTTAACCAGTGAGAGCAAACGACTTTTGCTACCAACACACACACACACACACACAAGTGGAGACTGCGTTTACACACACACACTACAGTCGAGAAACTGCATTTGCAAATCAACTTTCGGATTGGATTGTACCAGGGATTGGATCGGTGCCAGTCTTCAGTCAACCACCCCAAAACGCAGTCAGCAGCCAAAAGCAACGAAGCAAATTGAAACTAAATTAAATTTCCATCAAAATTAAGCCCCAAAGCAAAACGTAACGAAACAGTTCAATTGCAATTGAAGCTGCAATTTAATGTCAATGTGATGTGCCTACACCTTCTCCTTCATATCATACAAAAGCTTTAAACGCAACTCCTGAACACGCTTTACGTAACGCGCGAACCCGATCGAGTGCCAGCGAAAGTGCAGCTCGAAAGCTTTTGAAACGACTCGGCACGGCTCTGGACCAACTGCAACGTTCGCTCAAGCCCCCTCCCTCCCCCCACAAGCTCAAGCTCCCCTCGCACACAAGCGGGGTACACGCCCCAGTAAAGCATAAAGCAAGAAGCAAAAAAAGAGGGAGAGCAACGCACTGCAAATCTCAGAGCAGTAGAGTGGAGAGAGAGAGAGAGCAACTGCAGCCGATTGCAGAACGGGAAACGATCGCGAGTGCAGAGAGCTCGTAACTTGTTCTCCGGCCGACGACGCAGCTTCGTCGTGCACTTCCTGCACCGAGCTGCAGCGGGCAGAAGACAGCGATCGTCGCAGCAGCAGCAGCCCCCAGCAACAAGGCCACAAGAGAGTCGCGTCGGCGATCAGTTTGGCGGCGAATGCAACGCTGATTGCAATTACTGCAGGCAGGCAGACGAAAAGGAACGACTGCATTCTTTAGCAAAAAGTGAAAGAGAGAGAGAGAACTGAGTGCGGTGACTGATCATTGTCGTCATAATCATCATCATCATCAGTCTTGTCGTCGTACTGGCGCTCTACTGTACACAGAACAGCAGCAGCACCTTAGCGCTGCACTCTGCATCACTCTCACTCTCCCGGCGATCACAGATCGCGCAACGTGTCGGCGGTCTAGCGCGAAAGTTGTGTTGTGAAAATATCTTTTAGCGCGCACACGTCAAACCGAACTAGATATTGTAATTATAAGTGCACCAAAGTGAATCCAGTGAAGTTCTTTGCATAGTGCAAAAAGAAACAGAAACAGCACACACACACACACACACACTAACTAAATAAATATAGAAATTCCCATAAATATAGCTTAGCACATTTTCGGATTAAATATCTAACACACACACACCTACAGCGCCAATTGGATACTCTACACATTTGGATACACCAAGCCAGAGATACCTCGACACTCGACTGGAAGCTACATCACAAAACAAATTCCTTTGAGTAAGTGTTAACAAACCAATTTAAAGAGATAAACGATGCCAGACAGCCCTCTGGTTGACACACCTTTTCAGTAAATAGACAGCTATAGATCTTTATTCCATGTTTATTGTGCGGTCTTAAAGATATGAGATCTAGAATATCTGCCAATTCTTTTCAAATGAAGACTGGTTGAGAGACTTTTGGTATGGTATATTCTCCTATAATATTCCTTTAGCCTGGCTTTAAGGTATTGAAATTGCAATTTTGGCACACGTACGCTTTAGATGCACTTTTTGAGATCGATTGTTTCTACCGGAACTTTTAAAAACTTATTTAAAATCACCAATCGGGTTTCTGAGAAGCGCTGGGCTAAGCTGGCTTTCCAAGCCTGGCTAGCGGTTCATATTTTCCTGGAATAATCCGTAAATTGGCACACAAATTCCCTCGATACTTCTAAGGTTACTCAGCTGTTTTACTGTTAGCACCCACTGTGTCTGTTTCTTCTCAGGGTTTCCATTTCCATTTCCAAACTCGTACCGGCTCTTCTGTGTAACCTGAGAGCTCCTCTAACTTTTTGCGCAAAGTAAATAAATTCTGCATATTTTCGCCACACAGTTTCGATTGAAAGGCAAATGCTGCTACTCAGCAGAGTGCTGAAGAGAATTGCTCTTATTTAATTTTTATTTTTTTGTTAACTATAGCAGAGAGAGAACTGAATGAAAAAGCATTTGAGATGTTCACGTGCAAGCCCTGCACTGTGCTTACCTTGGTGCTTGACGTGTGATGTGGGAAGCGGGAGGCGTTGTGGATACACTCTGTGTGTGTGGGGGGGCTTGGTGGAGAGTAAGCCCACAAGTTCATGACCAAAAAGCCGGATAACGATGGCCATAACGACGACGACGACAAAAACAGCAACATTGGGCGAGCCCACTAGTCGGCTCCGGCCGCAGAGATACGCCGCGTGGGCGCTGGTTTCGGCCCTGGCTCTGTCCTTAACCCCTACCCACTCCCCACTATCGCTCAACTGTCTGAGCCCCTCTCTCTCTCGCTCTCGCTCTCGTCCCTGTCCCACTGTCCAGTTCGGTCAATCTCTCTGCAGTTTTGTCCGTGTGTCCGCTGTGTCCGTGTATCTGTATCGGCATCTGTGTATGCCCCGTGTATCTGTGTGTGGCGGCCCTGCTGCTGCAACTGTATGCGTTTATTTTAGTTACCGATTCGACGGTTTGCCTTGTACAAAAATTTACAGACAGCATCTACATTTTACACACAGCCCTTGGGCATGGCATGGCATGGCATGGCATGGCGTTCATGCCTTTGCTGTTTTTCGCTCATTTTAACCCCTTTGAAGGAATGTTCGGCCAAAGTTTGTGTTGTATTTTTTTCCTCGCTTTTGTCTGCCTCTCTGGTTCTGTGTTCCTAATGTGTTTGTGTGTGCGTGTGTGTGTGTGGATGGCATTGTGGAACGTCGCCAGAGTATCTTTCAGTTACTTTATGGGGCCAAAACTGTGCATTCTTTAGCCTATTTCTTAGCAATTGAACCTTTTGTTTGGCTTAGTCTCAGGTCCAGCTTTTACTTTTTTTTCATGGCAAAAGATTCAAGATTGTAACGCGTTCCACAGCGCAGAAAAAAAAAACAGCATAAAGAACACAATTATACTTGGCTTCCACACGCGACAAAACTTGCTCGTGGTTTTTTTTCTTCGCATTTTATGCCTACACACCGGAGTGACGACGGCGATCTTTCGCAGGGAGAGAGAGAGCAAGCTTGCATGCCTGTGTGTGCTTGTGAGAGAGAACATCATGTTTTTTCGCCATTCGCTTTGTTGTGCAAATTCTGCTGCCACTCGCGCTGCTTATTTTTCTCCCGCTCTCGCGCTCTCTTGAAGCTTACGCTCTCTCTCAATTCCTGCTTTTTTTTTTTGCGAAACTTTTTGCCCGTCTGTCGGGCTGTGTGTGTGCGCGTCTGTGTGCGAGAGAGAGTGTCTGTGGGCTCTCTTTCTGCCTCTGTGTGTGCATTTTTGTCGCCGCCACCGTCGTCGCTGCTGCAGCTTTCGTTACGACTTGCGGCTGCTGCTGCTGCTGCGACTGCGACTCCACAAAGTTGTTTGTGGGCTTTGTTGTGCGACGGACGGGGCAAGTGACGACGGAAGACCAGCAGCAGCAGCGCACAGAGCAGCAGCGAGCGTCAGACGAAGAACCGAACCGAGGAGAACCGGTGACGTAGCCGTCCGCCGCCATTATTACAACGCGGCTGCCACACGCAGGAATTATTGGCCAAATCCAAGTCCAAGACCCCAAAAACACAAACAAAAAAATATCTAAAATCAAACACTCGGAAGCGGTTAGTGCAGTGGCTGCAGCAGCAATCGGAATCGGAATCGGAATTCAAGTGCTTGCCAAAATATCCAAAATAATAGAAATTCCCATATAGCGTCGAGCGCACCGCGAAATTTATTAATATGTTGGCGGTAAGCGCGCGCGGCATGCGAAACGAAACGTAACGGAACGGCAACGGCAACGGCAACGCGGCCAATTGTGATCTCATAAAAGTACATAGATACATTTGTATCTAGCTCGTAAATATAAATATTTTATGTAGAAAATGCAAGAAATCTAGGAACAAATTGTGCAACGCAAATATTACAACAATAACCCAAGAAATCCAATTCAATCCAATCCAATCCAACCAATATAAATAGTAGTTCAACTCTGAGCGAAAACCAAATCAACGAAGGGAATTAATATTGTGAATATTGTAGTGCAACCCCACACAAAAAAAGGTAACGTCGGCCTGTGTATCTTTGAGATACACTTGGCAAAAAGAAACTGCAGTTTGCGATTAGTGCGAATATACTATATGTATGTATGCACATACAGACTTGCGACAGCAATAGCAATCCCATCAAGTGCCAGTATCTGTATGAGTGACTGTGTTCGTTTGCGTGAGTGTGAGAGTGAGTGCGAGTGAGTGTTTAGTACGTTCCGATGTGTGTGGTGGGGAACTAAAAGCGACGGCATTTTATATACTTTTTGTTCCTCTTTGCGCTGCTGATTCTCTTGAATGCAGCCAGGCCCCAACATACAATATATGTATGGCTGTATGTTTGTACATATGCATGCCGCCTCTCTCGCTCTGTATATTTGTGTGAGTGCAAAAATTAGAAATTGCGCCCAGTATATATTCTACATTTAAATATGTATTGTATATAGAATTCCAAAGGCGAGAAACAGCTGACGCATGGCATGAAATGAAACGAAATTCATTTTATGTGCGTTCAGGTGTTTTCTGATATTTCTGATGCGGATATTTTATAAAAACAGACGACAACAACGCCCACGGTATCGGCTGGCAGCGTTGTTCAACACTGCAGCGCGCACACACACTTACAGTGGGCCCCCTCTTCCAATACACTGAAGTTAGAGCCCCACACACAGATGCAGCAATGAGGTTTTTTTGCTTCTTCCTCTTTGTGAGTGCCGCGTGCTAGTGTGTGTGTGTGTGTGTGTGTGTGTGTGTGGCAATGCATTTAACGTCGTCACAATCGCATTAAACGCTGCTGCTAGCGTCGTCGTCGTAGTCTACCTCTTAGCGGTGCCCGCCCGCCCCTCTTCTCTTTGGCAACCAGCCCCACTGCTGGCACCCGCCAGCCGCCTCCTTTGGTCCTCATGCTGCCATGCCTGTCCACCATTTTGATTTTTGCCTTTTGCATCGTGTTCGTTCTCCCTTCAGCCTCTCTCTTGCTCCAACGCCGACGCCGCTGACTGACGCCGACGCCGCTGCTTAAATCATTAAAAAGTGAACTTAAAATAAAGAAAAGTCCAGACAAAGTCGGAACCGAACCGCTTCTCCCCTCTCTCTACTCTACTCTGTGCATGTGCGAGAGCATTGCTGCCTGCGAGTAGCTGTGTGTGCGAGAGTGGCAAACCGGTTTGTTCTGCCTCTGGAACTGTGCGAATTTCGGTTCGTGTGCTTATTCTGTTGTTGTTTGTTTGTTGCCTTGCTTTGGCATTTGTGGGATTCGCATTCGCGTTCGCATCTTCTTCAGCTTCAACTTCTTGTGGCTCTTCCTTTGATTTGTTTTAGCACTGCATTCGGTATGGAAGCGAAAGCTTGCTCCTCTTCCTGGGCTCCATTTCGGCCACGTGTCAGCCAAATGGCGTCCACACACAAACATTCGCACTTGCACAACTTAAACTCTCACACAGTTACAGCTTTGAAAACCGGCCGGCGAGCATTGCAGGCATGGGGGCCGCAAAAGCTTTGCTGCTGCTGCTGCTGCTGCTGCTGCTACTGCAGTAAGCGCCAAAAGCTCTCGAGTGCAATGCGCTCTCTTTTTTGGTGAGGTGAGAGGCAGAGGAAAAAAGAGAGGAATAAGGAAAATCAGTAGAAAAGCAGAGAGAGAGAGAGAGAGAGAGCCACACTCTCACACAACTACAAACAAACACACACAGCACACACGTTGCTGCAATTATTTGCAGTTCTTGTCTTGCTTCCGTTTCTTCTTCTGTTGTCTGTCTCCTCCTCCTCCTCCCACTCCGCAGCAACCCCGCCTGCTGGTGCATGTGCGCATAATTTGGCGCTTCGCCATGTTTTCTCCGCCGCCTGCCTTTGTATTTTCATGTTGTCGCTCCATGTCGCGCTATGCGGCTGCTTCTGCTGCTGTTGCCCCCAAAAGCCGCATGGAGTCGTCGACTTTCATTTCGTTTGGGTGTTGCATGATGCATGACTCTTGCTCAGCAAGAACACGCTCGCACTGCCAGGGGGGGCAAGAGGAGGCAAGAAGCGAGCAGGCAAGCAGGTTGGGTCTTTTGGCCTGAGGAGCGACTTGACAGTCGCCGGCAAACACGTTTTGGCTTTTGCATTCGACTTTTGCGCTTTGTTAAGTAATTTCAATTTAGATTTTTCTTCACATTTTGCTAGTCTAAAGCATAAATAAATTTAGGATAAAGTTAGAAAATCTTTAGTTATTTTTACTAATTATTTGTTTAATTTTCTACTCGTCCCTACCCTTTGAATATTT